AGAGAGGAAAAAGGGCGACGATGGAGACGTGGCATAGAACTCAAAGAGGGCACAGCGAGGGATACTGTGGAGCCGAGCGCAGAGGAACCGAACGGGAAGGGCAGCATTATCGGTGAGTTAAAGCAAGGGAAGCTGCCCGTCCGAGTCAGTGCTCCTCCTCCGCTCCGACACATGAAATGCAGTTTTGGGCTTTCCTGGACCGTACGATCCAACCGAGATGTAACCTTATAAGTAGCCGACAACTTCTGCTTCGACAAAGACCGGTCTAGTTCCTTTTGGCAAGTCGTATGTGGGTCCTCTTCTCCACACACCTCTCGCCACGTGTACCAATCGCATCGGAATACGAGTCCCCGCAGTTCAGTTCTCGAGGAGAAACCCATCCATATCGGCGATTCACACGATGGCGCACCCGATGTCCGACACGTGGAGAGGGAGAGATTAAAGATGGGACGTGCGAGAGAATGGTGCGTGGGGGCGCGTGTAGATGATTGAGCTGTCCAAAAAGTACGATGAAAGGCTGAGACAAGGAGCAGCAGCACCCGCGTAAAAGTCGAGGGTTTTCTGCAGTAAAGAGTAGTGCTTTTTTCCTGATTCTTGCCTTTTTCTTCACATGTTGCCCTCCTCACTCTCACGCGCCTCAACCTGCGTGAACCTCCGCCTCCTTCTACTCTGATGCACACGCGCCGGACCTCGACTGGGGACCGCTACACTTACACCACCCCCATTATTTTCACGGTGACTGGTTCAAACTTCAAACTGATAAATATCTTTCTCTATTCCTTTCTTTTGTAAATTAACCCAATGAGAACCGTTCAACGTTTCGATGGATGATATATTAATTAATTGAATTATATTAGTGTTGATTTTAAATTATTTCAATTTCTCAATTTCTTAGTTTATTTTTCTAAATTATAAGAATAGTTACGATCACACGTCTTAATTTTCAATTTTGTTCAACACTATTATAAACTTACAAAATATTACACTTAAGCTCTTACCTATTGCAAAAATGACAAGCCATGCCTCTAATTACAATGTTTAAACTCAATTTACTCTTAAAGTATAGTTAAATTTAAAATTTGAAGAGTTAATATTATAGTTTTTCAAATTGTATAGAATTGAAAATAAAATGGATTAAATTGTAACAATTTTATTAGTTTAAGAGTTTTATGGTGACAGCTTTATAATCAAATGTGGCTTTGTGGCTTTGTGATTGTTAATAACCTAAAATTTAAGAACGGTTTGTGCAAATTTAGTATTATTTAATAATAGTTGTATTTGACCTTAAATTATTATCTTATTCACATGTTTTTTTTTAAACAATCTTATTCACATGTTGATGGTTTCCAATCAATATTATTGTTTTAGGGTTTATTAAAGTGACCTTTTTTTCATCCTTTCATAATAATTCAAGAATAAACTTAAATAAGTGATGAAATTAAGTTGTAAAAATTTAATCACCAAAACATCCCAAATGAAACCATACATGCCGAGAACATATCTAAACTTAGTCATAAAATGAAGAAGTAAAAAAGTTCACAAACTCTTATGTAAGATGCCCAAATCCACTGCAAAATGTTCAAAATGATCAAAATAACTAATATTTATAAAAATAAATCCATCTAACCACAAAAGTTTGGGTTTATAAGGTGATTACAAACAAAGTCCCACATTGACTAGGAGAAGGAATGATCATGGATATATAAGATAAGACAATCATCTCTATTGGTAGGAGGCATTTTGGGAACCAAAACAAAGTCGTGAAAGTTATGCCAAAAACAGATAATATCAAGGAAAAAAAAAGGTTTTATAATAAAATTGACTAAAAGATATATTGTTATTTTCTATTTCTTTTAAAAACAATTGTCAATTCGTGGATATATTCATCAACAAAAACAGTAAATTACTTAATTATTCTGGCCAAAATAAAATGGTAAACTATAAGATACATATACATACTTTTACATTTCTTTTTTGGGTGATAATATAAAAAATAAGGGAGGCAGAAAAGCAAAAAGGCAATTAGATTTAATCTTATAAATCATGACTTGGAGGAGGTACTTATGCTTCTTGGAGCATTTTTATTTTAAAAGTGAACATTTGTTGGTAAATGGTATGGAGTTTAAGGTCAGTGAAATTATTTTTGGTACAAAAACGAATCTAACATCGACACGTGGATATCAAATATTTTTTATTAACATAAAAATAGATAGCGTAGAAATAGTTACTTTTTCGCTTTTTCCTTTTTTATTTATTAACATTTCAAATTTTCAACGAGTTAAATTAGTAGGGCAAAAAAGCTATCAAACACAATATTTTCACAAAAATTAAAAATTTAGAAAAGAAAATACTCTTTGTACCATGACCATCCTCGTAATCAAGTGACTATGGTCCACATTTTAATTTGCCAAAAAGGAAAAGAGATTTTTTTTTTCTTTTACTAGCATGTCACGTTCTGTAGGAGTGGATAATTAATCATTTAAGACCATCATATTTCAAATACTTAATAGATATATTAAAGGTATGTTTGGGAGCGATTTTGGTATAGTCAAAATTATTTTTGTCTTCTACTAAAATCACCTTAAAATCATCATCAAACATTAAGGTATATATGGGAGTGATTTTGACACGACCAAAATCACTTCTTTGTCGTAGTAAAAAAGCTGACAATAATATTCAAGCGAGTTTAAACAATGTCGCAAGTAGTGTTGACTATGCCAAAATCACTCTAATGCGGTGAGTAATGTTAATTATGTATTCATAGAATTTTCATTAGAAAAAAGAATGATAATAAATAAATAATATATCAATACTTTTCTTCACGGAAGGTTCAAATATCTACCCTAATCAGAATATATTTATATTATAAAATTTTATAACAATGATTCATGAGTTTTTTTTTTTTAATATTATATTGCGAGTAAAGGGTGTAGATTGGAATCAACTTCAAAGAATGAGTAGTTTTTATATGTTGATTGTTTTCTTAACATAAAGAGAAAAAAAAATTAATAATCAGAAAAGGCAATATGTGGCGTGTGGTAATAATTAAAAAACTACCCAAAAGTAAATTTTACTATAATTCGGTTGGGCCCTTTCATCTCTTTTGATGAATTTCAACAAAGTGGAAGTAGTTTTTTTGCGGTCAAAAATTTTACATGTGAATCCGATCTCAAAACTTTCAAGAAAGGAACAAAGAAAAAAAAAAGTTACTTTTCATGTTATTCCATATTTCTTAAGTGATTCACGGTGAAGTGAAGTCCAGTTCGTGCAAACTTTATTAATTATAATCTATAGTTTTGACTTGAAATTATTTTGGTTAAATAACTAAATTGGACCATGGTTACACTCATGGACGGTGGGTCAAAGACATTATTGTAGTGGTTTTAACTTTTAATTTGATTATGGGTTTCTTCGAATACCGAGAATATTATGATTATCATTACGACGACAAATTGATTTGTCGAGAGCAAGGGGCAAAGATTTTGATTTTGATTTTTTTCCTTCCTTATCCTTTGCCCCTATGGCTTGCACGTGAGGCCTCCACTGTACTATATATTATAATAATTGATATAAAGCTAAAAATTGTTACATTATTCGTTTCTAAAAAAAAAAAAAGTATAAGATTATTTTATATGCTTAACTCAATAATAT